GTTCTCTCTCTTCTTCACCAACTTGAACAAACCCTTTTTGTTCTGACAGAAGCAGAGGCCGAAGCGAGTGAAAACCATCTATAGCTGTATGGCTGACAACCCGGACGAGCTGACCTTCTCCGAGGGCGAGGTGATCATCGTGGACGGAGAGGAGGACCAGGAGTGGTGGGTCAGTATCTCACGCTGATAAACTGAATATTTCGGGATGTTGGATACTTGTTCTCAGATTAAATCACAAAGCACTCTGACGAACTCATGTCGAACTCTGGTCCTATTTTCACCCTGTGGATGTCAGTGCACTCGGTTACCATGGTGCAAAAAGCCATGACCTCATGCAGGCTGATACCCCCCCCCCTCCTCTTTTTCCGCCTGCTGCTGCTTCCTCTGTGGAGCCCCTTGTGTAGCATCGACCAGCTGCAACTTGTTTTCCTCTGAGCCACCTCTGCAGATATGACCGTATTTAGTCACTCTCCCTCTCTGCGTGGACCCTAAAGTCCCCCGAGGACCCCCAATGGTTCCTCTCTGTCGTGCATTATCACTCTTTGTGTGGCTGAAATATCGAATATCAACCAGGCAGCAGGAAGAAATGAAATCAGCTGCAGTGAGTGTGACTCTGGTGCTTTTTATGAGACTGGAATTAGATTGACAACATCATTGATGGATGCTTCAAAGTTTCATTTAAAAACTGAGCATAACATTATTTCAAAAGAGAAGTGAAATACGTGATGGAAGTGCAATTTGTTTACATCACAAGTTTCTAGTACCAACTAAATTGATGATTGTTCTGTATTTATTTCTTCATTTGCTTGTCATGGTTCGCCTCTAGCCTCGTGTACACATTGATGGAGCAGAAACATGTACTAGCTTTTTATTTGCAGGTATAGAAGACGTTTAAAATGACTTAAATGGACATGATTTGTACTTTCTTCTTTATCAGCCAAGGTAATATAATACGGAAATGCCTTTTTTAAATATGAATTAGCTTAATTGTGTTTTAGCCTCCCATAGTCCACTAGTGTGCTCCATTAGATGATGACCAGTAAGGATAGATGTTAGTTCATGTTCTCCTGAATTATTATTGCAATAAATGTTATTAGACCTAGAAATCCTTATTGTTTTTTAAATTACAATTTAAATGTATATTTGTTGTCATGTAAACTGAACATGTCTGTATAAATGAATATATTACATTACACTATTGTACTCTACATTGATTTTTCGTAACAAGTCGCTGCATAATGTTAAGTGTACATCAGTATTGTTTTTTAAGTATCGATATTGAACTTCTAAATATGTTGTAACCTAGCCCTTGTGTTTATTGGTGTTATAGTGTGGTAGACAGGGCTGTACCGAATTTCATTCAAGTTCCTTAAAGTCCATTTGAATTCTTTCAATGTATGTCTTCACATTAAATGTCATCACGCAAAAAAATGGGCGAAAAAATAGATTATTTTTACATTATTGCTAGACCCCCAAGCAATACAGATTTTCGACCGCAGTAAAATGTTGATTAAATAAAAGCTATCAAAGTTATGAAAGAAGCTTAATCTGTTCGGTACAGCCCTGATGTTTATGTGACCTATGTGACCTTTTTTGTTGTTGAAAGCAGTCATATGCTCTAGTTTTCAATCAGTTAGCCTCCCCCAGTAGATGTAACCTGACTACACGTCTTAAAGTGTTGTGAGTCTTCTTCGCTGACTTTGATAATCCTCTGACGTCCCTTCTGTCTTCCCTCTCTCCAGTTGGGCCACATCGAAGGCGATCCGATGAGAAGAGGAGCCTTCCCGGTGACATTCGTTCACTTCATCGCTGACTGAAAGCTTCCTCTCCGGGTCTCAGGAAGTGTCGCCGGATGCAGCGTCCCTCCTCCGCCCGTCTCTGCCCGGCCAGTCCGCACAACATCCTCCATCGTCCCTGTCTTTGTTGTCTTCATCAGCGAGCTTCTTAAAGTGTCACTGCTGTATCGCCACCTCTGCTGCAACAGACAGAAAGTCATGGGACTGTTAGTGGTTTTAGACGCTTGCTGTTAATGTTTCTAAAAAAAAGACTGTAGTGAATGACCTCTCGCAATAAATGCACTTTGCTTGTCTTTATCCTCGTGACAACATAAGACGACATGTGACATGATGAAGGTTAATATGTACAGTATTGATTTAATCCATATCTGTTCAGATGAGAAGACAACAGCGATGTATTTTAACTTTCCAACAACTGTAAATGTGATCAACATGCTTACATTCCACCCCTGTGCATGAGCGATTTCAGATGCCTTCCTGCTTATAGGTGTGACCTTTAAATTCTGTAGCAGTGTGGAGGTCTTTCTAATGGTGCTAAGTAAACCGCATAATATACCAGAAGCTGCACCCTAAGGAGCGCTCCCCTGTCCCCGTTTCAAAGACAGAGCAGCGTTGAAAAGGGGCTAAAATAATGTAAAAATAGCCTCTGACTCACACCTAGCAGAAGCTTTTCATCTTACCCCGGTGTGAATGTGTGATGGAGCAGCTTTTCCACACATTGCGGTTTCACCTGAGAGGATAGTATTCAACACTTCCTGCTGTGATGTTTTAGGTCCATTACTGACACTCACTGGAATCGCCTGTAATTACTTTTGTGCCGAGTCTGACACCTCGGCTGTCATCTGCCTTATTATAGGAAGTGGTTTGTGTGCGTGTCTTTGTCTGCTCAGAGTGAAAGCATTTAAGAGGATATGATAGTGTGGAAATGGGATCAAAAGCAGGAGTTAGCTCTCTGACTATTTACTTCCACCTAAATGAGCTGTCTGTCTCCATCTTTGACTTTATACTGAGAGAGAATATCCTTCCTACAGCTTAAACCTCATGTGTACATCTCTGGGGTCCAATAATGTAGGAATATGGGTTTATCTATAGTGTTGTGAAATAAATATGAAAAAGACAATGTAATTAACTTCATTTTGGTTGCAGAGCAACTTTCTCTCTGTTCATAATGTTGATATTTTAGGCGTTTAACCTGAACCCAGAGCCTTCTGTTGGTTTGTGAATGACGAGAGGAGAGCGTGTGATTGGTAGCTGATGCACTCTCTTCTTCATGTTTAATATGAACTCACTGGAAACAGGAAGATTTAATAATCTATTCATGTAAATAGATTTGATTATGTTGATATTTATATGTAAAAAAGCAAGAGTTAGCTGGGCAGTAAATGTATTTTAATGTGCTGAGGTGACGAGCAGTTACAGATGCAACCTCAGCTGGACCTGTGTGTGTGTGTGCTGAAAACACAAATCCACACACACACACACATTACTGGGGAAATAAACTTCATGCGTTCTCATTTACTGTCTGTGGATCACTGCATCGACTTTTAACTCCATTGTGCAAGTAAGTGGGGAAATGAAACTGGAATAATAAAATATTAAATAACACAGGGCTTTGGTTTCTTTCTTAAGGAGTTTGAGTAAATAATGCCTACATATACTGCATTGTTGCTCACAACACATCCTTTATTTATTGACGTTTCACTCCCAATAAAAAAAATTGTAAAGTAACGACCTACATTTTAGAAGTTGAACACCATTTGAGTTGTGTCAACTAAAAGTCAGATGTACCAAGAGCTCCCTCTGATGGCCATTATTTTAGCATGTCTATGCAGGGTTCAGAAAACACTGCAGTGTAAAAACATACATTGTGATATTTATGGGCCCCCAGGAAAACACTGCAGTTATTTATAATTAAAACAAAGATGAAACATTACACACACTCATAAGAAAAGATGACACTGAAGGAATAAGGAGAAATAACACTTTATTCAGTCAAAATAAAAGCTATCCACTCCTTTATTGTACCAAACCAAAGGGTAATGGGGGGATTGGCTATTATTATGTACAAGGTGAAGTCAAGTAAGTACCACAACTGTAAACATGTTTTCTTCCAAAATCTTTTATGAGCTTCTAACAGCCTTTTAGGATTTATCTGGTGCCAGCAAGTCCAAAGAAATGTACGCATTTGTATTCACTACATTACAACAAGCAGTTAACAAATCCAAATAAAATCAAGCTTTGGTAAGATACAATAAGAACAATCATTAAAAATGAGCAAATCCCACAAATAAAAGAGGTAAGACTCCTCTCACACACTCTCACACACTCACTTTGTACCTGTGAGTCAAGAAGTGACCGCTACTGCCTACTGTACCAATACTGTTAAAAAACACGACAAAACACACAAAAGCAGATCGAAACTGAAAGAGTTCCGAATGAATTCAAACTTAAACAAATTGTGCACGTTGTCAAATGATTGTTTACCGCATAGATGTACCACTCTATCATGATTTACATCAAATGATATTAATTCACATTGTTCACTGCATTCAAATTATTTTAAAAAAATGCAACCATTTCCTTTTATTCCTAAAGTTTCCATTTTTGTTCTTGACTTCCGGAAAGGTTTAAAAATAAAAAACGCAAGGTATCACAAACAAATTGTGATATCATGAAGGTGTGTATAGCAAACTAAGCGAAGTGATTTCTCCATCATTGAAAAGGATCACAAACGTTCCATCATCAAAAAGGCTTGAATCAACTCAAACACACCAGATTTGTGCTCCAGATAATCTCTTTAAAAGCAAACAAAGCAACGTAGGGAAGAAAAGGGAAACGGTTGCATATATGTTGGCAGTCTTGTGATTAACTCGTGTTTTGCAGATGTGTCTTCCCTCTTCTCTCAGGACTTGTCAGAGGTCAGCGCGCAGTCGAAGGAGGCCGACAGCACCTTGCAGACGGACTGCGCCTGCTCCTGTTCAGACAGATGATCGGTAACAGGCGGGGAAATACAAAAAGTCCAGAAAACGGTTTCATTTTATTCTGCGTCACACTCACCGAGCTGCTGCACTGGTACACCCAGATGCTGCACTGCTCCTGCTCTGAGTCCGTGGTTTTCAGAGCCAGGAGGTTCTTCCCCGCTCCGAGGCCGTCATCGTAACACAGCATGCGCATGATCAGGAACAGAGGGTGGCGGTGCAGCACGTCCTGGACCCGAGGAACCAAGTGTATTATTACCCACTCATGCAAGCAAACATTTCTTTATTTGTAATGTGGTTAAGAAAGCTAACTAAATCTCTGTTAAACATGTCATCTTTGTAAGGAATAAGCATGTGTTTTTTATTATTTTGTGGTTAAGGTTATCTACAGTAGGTTAGACTGCAAGCAGAATTCAGTAATTAGGCTAACAGGATAAAATACCGTATTACCTGCTATTCATAGCAGATTTATAGTAGCTTTTTAATATAAAACTAAATAATTTCTCTACCATTGTCAGTATTGTAAAGGAAATTAATGAATGTGATGATTTCCGTGAGTTGACCATTTTTAATAGACCAGTCTGTTACAAACATATCCTTAACCTTTCTCAATTGTTCGGTTTTATTTGACTTAGTCTATTTTCTTTTAATTAACAGTTTGTATCATGAAATTATATGAGAGCAATGTTTTTAATATGTTTTTAGTATTTTCTAAACATTAGTGTCAAATAAGTAATGTAGCAATATGGCAGACTCCAAAGATCCAGGGAACTGCTGACATATTTGAGTCAGCAGCTTTGCAGTATCATCTCCATAATATAAATTGATGCTTCATTATAAACACATGCTGTTTGGGTGTATCAATGAAGCGGAAATATTGCAGAGTCAATGATCATTTAATTAAAGTTAAGTTTTCAAAGTTTGTTTCTACTCACACACTGGTCCAGCGAGGCCACCTTCACTCCGTACCTCGACACTCCCAGTATCATCTCTTCGTCTCCGGGCACAAAGGGCAGCTTTCCATCTTGCTGTGAAAGGAGCAGAGTATTTATGGCGTCTTCATAACTGAAAGATGTGATATCGACTGCTGTACGTCTTCTCAAAGTGTGTGGCCTTCAGCTTTTTACCTGAGCAGCATCGATATAGTTGATGAGGTCCAGAGGCTCCTGCAGGGACTTGCTCATGTCAAACTGTAACCTCTCAATGGCTCCGAGATACTTCACCCTGAACTCAGCGCATGTTTCAGACGTGCTGTTACCTTTGGAGAGTAAATAACATTTCCTTTAAGACTAAACACTTGACTAGGACTACATGTAAACCTTTAGTGTTTAAGTGTTACCTCTTAATATAGGTTTTCATTGAACTTGATTTTTATAAAACACATTTTCCTCATATTGTGCAGTCATACCATAAGCTGCATCTTTGGATAATTCGGGTAGAAAAACTGATTGAAAATGTCATTGATTCTGTTATTGGCAATAATACACATAATTCATAAACAGTTATTGATCAGTTTGGGTTATAATCAAACAAATTGCTCCCAAATAAAAGCAGTTGGCTGGACTAAATGAAACATAAAGCAAATTGAAATCAAACAACTTAAGTGTTAATTAATACAACATTTATAGAATCAGAATCATAAACAGGTTTATTACCAGGTAGGTTAACACATACGAGGAATTTGACTTGGTGTTGTGGTGCATACATCAAAATAAAACTATTTTAAGAAAACTATAATAACATTAAAAAATATATAGTAAAATATATGGTCTCTGTATGCTCTGCTACATACATAAAAAAACTCATTCAGAAAAAAAAAGCGTAGAAAGCTGACCTGAGCTCTTGGTGGAGTCGGTGTCGAGGCTGGCGGCGGTGCTGGATCTGGAGAGCCCCCCCAAACTGGAGTCCACAGACTACATGAATTGGAAACAAGAGGGGGGGTGGTTGCTCAACAAGAGGAAAGTGGCTCTCCTGTAACATGTATGTGTGTGTATGTATGTGTGTGTGTGTGTACATTTGCTTACTTTGCTTTTGGTGCTGATCTCACTGCTTTGCGAGCTGCTGCTACTGTGCCGCTTTTTGACTTTCCGGAACATCCTTCACCATGACGACAGCATCCAGCCCTCCAGCCTCTCCAAAACCTGAGTCATCACAGACGGCTGCGTTAAACACAGGACTGCCTTCTCACGTCTCAATAGACATGATGAATAATTGAATGAGGTCTAAGTTCTGAATAATTGATGGTGGACCTTCAGCTACATAATGATCCTTCAGCTATCCTTTGCATGGTTTAATAGTTACTGTAACAGCTGCAAATGTGTTCACATTATAGGAGTGTTAGTTACTAAAGATGTATTTATTTAGGACGTCTCAAGATCTCTTTTAAAGGACAAACCTGAGATCAACACAATGCATTCATTACAGATTGGTTTGCAAGGAATTGATAAATACAAATGTGCATCCAATAGCTTTTAAGGATCTCCTGCTAACGTTCGATATCAATCAATTTAAAAAACAGCATTGTCCTCAAAATATATATATTTTGTTAACATTGCGTCTAAATTGACTTCAAAAACCAGAAATTCAGGTTGACGCTTCACCTTTCTATTGTGCCATACACTCATTTTTAAATGGTGACTGTTTCAATAATTATTAATATATAGGGATGACCATCTCTGATCTCTATCTATTGTACAGTTGAATGTTCTGTAGATGTAAACATTAATATGGGAATAATAGTGTAATACATAGTATTTTTGTTGTGCTTGTAATACTGAGTGAATATGTTTATTCAAATACTATTATTTATCTAACTTTGAGGCTGAAATGTATTGAAACTAGTAATACTGCTTTAGAGGTGTTGTGAAAAGTGGCACCAGTTAAATTGGAAACCATTTACACCTGCTACTGTAAAAAAGACTTCTCCCCATTCTCTATCATGTCATGTCAGAGTGAAATACTATTGCAGGTCCTATTGATGGAGTCACACCGGGGGGAGAGGTTGGGCTTGGGGGGCATAAACTATTTACAACAGAGAGCCCCCCACGACTAATGTCACACCAGACAATACAATCAACAGGTTACGTTTGACTTGAACGCATCATTTATCTAGCAACCTTACTTGCATGCTCCGAATAATACATTGCTCGTTAATGATGCTGTATATTATACATGCATGAAACTCATCCTACTCCACCTTAAATGTCCCCCACCGCAGTCATTTTCACACTGAAGTTGAAAAGGATTCACAGGTGGTTGGCAATGACACACGTAACATCTTAAATAGAGCTCGCTACACAATGAATACCTGTTTATATCGTAACTTCTCAGTTTTAATTTCTTCAAAGTAGCTTTCTGTTTACCTTCAGTTTGACTCTTTAGCTTCCCTTTGAGTTTCACAGCCTACACCCAACACCACTTAAAGGGGACGCGACGAAGTTTCTAAGACAGAAAATGTATCCGAAAGCCATGTGTATAACACATTTTGTGAGTTTCTAGAAAGTGTTATATTTATGATGAACGTAACTGTTTGTAACATTTAATAATTTTGTTAATTTATATTCGTTACGGCAAAAACCGGCTAACGGCTGTCCCGGAACTTCTGCCGCTTCTGAATTCTTGTCGGCTATATTTTGACACCCCACCGGAACTGTGACGTCACCTCCCCTCATTTATAAACAGTGCAGCACAGTATGAACGCATTTATCACTTCTATATTTTAAACTGTCCTGCAACATTTTGCATGGCAACAAAACGCAAAGTAGAGGTGATTGTTCCCGCAGAGGAGAGCGACCAGCTCCTAATTCGTCCACTGTGAGTTCATTTAGGTTCTTTTTTTTAAATCAATAAAGGTGTTGTACGCCTGCCTCTTTATTTAACCAGTATGACATGAAATAAATGTTATGTTAGTTTAACCTCTATTTTATTGTATGTAACTACAGGGGTGCTGGTCAGGAGGTTGGGAGATCATGCATCATTCTGGAGTTCAAAGGAAGGAAAATTATGGTAAATATTATGTTGTGAATGAATAGGTTAGAGACACATCTTTATTATGGAGCTGGAATATAGGTCGTGCAATTATATGTTCTTACTTTGTGCAGGCTCACTGTTGTTATTATTGTATATGTTTTAATGATTGTATTGTTGCTTTATTGAGTCCTGTGTTAGTTGTGTGCCGATGATTCATGGAAAGCAGTGTTGACACTGAGTGCATTGTCCTTGGTGAAATAAATACAGTAATATTTGTGAGGGCAACCAGAGAGAAGTTAGACTTGTACTTAGCTTTGTAACCAAGTCATAGTGACCAAAACATACTAAGGCACACTGATTTATAACAAATTATGAGATCTTCAATACCAAATGATTTGTAATGTTAGTAAACGATTGCGTGACACAAGTACCTTTGTGGTTATTATAGCTTATAGACTAGAGAAGTACAATTCTAACCTGTCTTTTTTTTAATCTCTTGATATGTCCTAGGATCTAAAGAAATGTTCTCTCTGTAGACACTAATACTTGTGTTTTGCAGCTGGACTGTGGTATCCACCCTGGCTTGGAGGGAATGGATGCTCTCCCGTACATAGACTTGATCGACCCGGCTGAGATAGCCCTGCTGCTCATCAGCCAGTGAGTCTTCCCTTCTCTCTTTTGTGTGTTAAATATATATTTTCAAACTGAAATGCTTATTTCCTTACTATGGCATCTCCTGCTTGTATGTCATTTTGATTTTATTCTAAAACAATATTTCATTTTGATGTATGTATCCTCCCACCAGTTTCCACTTGGATCACTGTGGAGCTCTGCCCTGGTTCCTCCAGAAGACCAGCTTTAAAGGCAGGACCTTCATGACCCACGCCACTAAGGCCATCTACCGCTGGCTACTGTCGGACTACGTCAAAGTCTGGTAGAAGCAACAGCAATTGTCGATATGGAACATATTTACAAATGATTTATATGTATAACCATTAAGTTATTTGTTCTCTTTGCAGCAACATTTCTGCAGATGACATGCTGTACACTGAGACTGACCTGGAGGAGAGCATGGATAAGATTGAGACCATCAACTTCCACGAGGTGAAGGAGGTGGCTGGAATAAAGTTCTGGTGCTACCACGCTGGCCATGTGCTGGGAGCCGCCATGTTCATGATCGAAATAGCTGGAGTCAAGGTAACTACTTCTGTTTTGCTTTTAACAGAGTTCTGTTCATTTATACAAAATAGGTTCACTTCACAAATCGATTATTTGTGTGTTTTTTCCTACAAAAGCTGCTGTACACAGGAGACTTCTCCCGACAGGAAGACAGGCATCTGATGGCATCGGAGATCCCCAGTGTCAAACCGGACATCCTAATCATAGTATGCAGTGTAATAATTCACATTGAACACAATTTTAATGGATGTTTAGCTGATCAAATCTAGGAAAGTGCATACATGTGTTCTTTCTGCAGGAGTCAACCTATGGCACGCACATCCATGAGAAGAGGGAGGAGCGGGAGGCTCGGTTCTGTAACACAGTCCATGACATTGTCAACAGAGAAGGTCATTGTTTACTCCCTGTGTTCGCTTTGGGCCGGGCCCAAGAGCTGCTGCTCATCCTGGGTGAGAAGTCAAGAGGGACTCCCTGATCGAAATTGTGCCTCCAAATTCGAACAACATAGTTAACCTTTCTGCTAGGGTGGATTGATAATACTTGGGATAAATAAACAGATAAGATTTCCTATTATTTCTGTAATAAAATAAACGTGCTTGTTGAATTTTCAAAATAATTTAAGGAAATTATTTCCAACATTCTTTTATGGACATAAAAATAAACTAATACAAAAAAAAGATTATTTTTAATGTCTCATAGAACATATTTTTGATATACTGTATCTACAGTTTTTCGTGATGTGTTTATTGCAGAAGTTGACATGCCGTACTCTAAACTGTCATGAAAGACCCTTTATCCTGATTTGCTTAATATTTCCATTGTTTTACAATTTATTTTCTTCTGTTGCATCTCAATTTGTAAGATTGTGTTTCATGTTCTCCTGTAATGAGTACTGGCAGAACCACCCTGAGCTCCATGACATCCCCATCTACTACGCTTCATCCCTGGCCAAGAAGTGCATGGCCGTGTACCAGACGTACGTCAACGCAATGAACGACAAGATCCGCAAGGCCATCAATATCAACATCAACAACCCTTTTGTCTTCAAGCACATCAGCAACCTCAAGGTAGAGAGCCAAACAGATACAGGCTGTTTTATCTTTGGGCTGCTGCTGAATATCTGTAAACGTGGTGTCTGTGTTTTTCCAGAGCATGGATCACTTCAATGACATCGGCCCCAGCGTGGTGATGGCGTCTCCGGGTATGATGCAGAGCGGGCTCTCCAGAGAGCTGTTTGAGAGCTGGTGCACTGACAAGAGGAACGGAGTCATCATCGCTGGATACTGTGTAGAGGGCACACTGGCCAAGGTCAGGCAGATCTGTCATAATAATATTAACAAACCTTATTTTTAGAGCCCCTTTCATACAAGAAATGCAGCACGAAGTGATTTAAAATAAGGGTTGTAGACTTGGAATTAACATAAAAACATGAATTAATAGTAATCATAATTTAAGAAAAAGGGAAAATTCTTTAAAATTAAGAAACCATAGTGGCTGCATGCATTATAGACAGGTGTAACTAGTTTATTGGGTGAAAGCGACATCATTTATATACATGTGTATCCAAATGAACTCAAATCAGATGTGCTTGTTGAAACAATGATTGTATAATTACAGCTGCTAACTGGTGTGTTTTGTGCTCTCTGCAGCACATCATGTCTGAGCCCGAGGAGATCACCACCATGTCGGGGCAGAAGCTGCAGCTGAAGATGTCTCTTTCTCCGCCCACACTGACTACCAGCAGACCAGCGAGTTCATCAGGGCCCTCAAACCACCACATGTGGTAGGAGGAGCTCAAATAAACTAGCTAATGTACCAATATCTTCCTGAGTCGGTTTTTAAATGTGTTATAAAGAAAGGACCTAAGATAAGTCAATGTCAGATTCGGGATGTGTTCTTAAATTGCAGACAGTTGCAAAAGTGTGCTTTGAGTGTATGTAGATTAGAAATAAGAAACAGTGGTCAAAGCCAGGATGTTTGTGAAAACTCCTAAGTGGGTTTCAGAAATACTTTTCTTCTTAGGAATGGTGAGTGCTGAATGAGGCGCATTGATTTGTGTTCCAATTCTCTCTTTTGTCTGTACCCTTGAGTTGTATCAGTTGTAATGAAAATCCTTACTCTCTGTCTACATCTTATCGACAGATCCTGGTCCACGGGGAGCAGAATGAGATGGCCCGTCTGAAGGCTGCCCTGATCAGGGAGTACGAGGACAATGACCAGGTTCACATCGAAGTCCACAACCCTCGAAACACAGAAGCTGTCACCCTCAACTTCAGAGGAGAGAAGCTGGCCAAGGTCAATACACCTTTCACCTTTTTCTCTATCCCTGAGACTGTTTAATTGGAGATTTCCTTTTCTCAAGTCACTCTGGGCTTCTTTTGGCTTAGACATGTTTAATACCTGTGTTACATTGCTTGTCCTTCAGGTGATGGGCTCCCTGGCTGATGAAAAGTGTGTTCAAGGCCAGAGAGTGTCGGGCATACTGGTGAAAAAGAACTTCAACTACCACATCCTCAATCCCTCAGACCTCTCCAGTAAGTATTTTAGTACAAACTGTCCCCCATGTAGGATGCAGCGTCTGTGCGTTGGTAGTCAGCCCCAGGAGAATCACTTCATTGGCTACGATACATTTGAGAATCTCAGTCAGAGAGGGTAAAAAAAAACGTGTTGACTTATGGGACAACAAAAATAAAAAAAATAGGTACTTTGTGCTATAATGAGCCTTTTTAAAATGCATGTGTGATATTTATTTTTTATATTTGCAACTCATAATAACCAAGAAGAACACTTGAGACATTTAATCTAAGTACTATTGATCATTTTCTTTTGGCCCCTAAGGCTTTTTGTGTTTCTGCCATCTCTCTCTACTCAGTTGTGCAAACTGCTGCCCTTTTTGTTAAAGGGGACCTATAATGCAAAATGCACCTTTGTACATCTTTTATACATGAATATGTGTCCCCGGTGTGTCAGGGAACTCACCAAGTGTCAGAAAGCACAACCATCTCTCTTTTCCTCCACACCCAAATCTCTAAAAACGGGGCTCAGAGTAAAAAACAGGATTCACACAAGGTAAAAAATAAAGATAAAATAGAATATAAATGTTGATAACAATACAAAAATAAAGTGATAAAGTAACTGTTGAAACAAGACTGTAAACAATACTGGACGAAGAAGCAAGGCATCATGTAGTGATCCGACGTGTTTGTTTTGCAACATACACAGAGCTGGCCATGAGCACACTGAAACAGACCCAGGCCATTATGGAGGTTATTCCCTATCTTTATTCAAGAGCGTGGTATTTAAATTTGAGAGCATACTTTTGTATTTATTTCCATCAAACCCTGTCCTCACACTCAAATAGTGCCTGCTTGCACTTAGATGTGCTCTGCTTGTGCTCAAACTGTACGCTTGCACTCAGATATATTGCTGCTTACATATTTTTTCTGCTCTCAGATTTATTCTGTGCGAGCTCGAAACTTTTGTGCAACAATCCTGTCAAAATCCCTCAACCAATAGGAGGCCAGGTGTCCTTGCGAGTGCGTTCGCTTTACTTATTACAGCGTCCCGTAAGGGCGGTTACTCTTTGGTTTATAAACTCCCGCCCTCCAGGGCTTTATAACATAACATGTACTTCACTTCGCTGTACAACTTTTTTTTGTGGGGGGGGGGTAAACACACTTAGTATATGTTTATAAAACGGACAAGTCAAATCAAGCAATCTGATGTTTCTTAGCCGTGATATAATGAGCGTATATCCCGAGTATAATTGTAGTTACTTTTCACAAATCAGTATCCCTCCGCGTCTGAGAACCGTTACAACTGTTACATTACGTCCGTTATGAAACTAACTAACTAGGCTAACTAACAAAGCTTAAGATGGAAACATTTAAGGTTAACTTCGACCTCCGGGTGGCCTTACTATGGAGGAGTGGATTGAGAAGTGCCTATCTCCAGAAAAAAAAGCACCTAAACGACGTCTAATATGTTCTCTAGCTGTTATTGTTGTTGCATAGCAACCACCTCGCACTATGTTCTGTGCAGAAGGCAACGGAGGGACTATTTTATTTTGAACATCATTATTTAATAATAAAAACTATTTAAATTGGAGTGTGTATTTTTCTTTCACATTGTCAGCCAAACGTGGTAACCGTTTTATAAATGCAATAGCTCACTTCAGGCCGTGATATACGAATATCTATACAATATGGGGTTGTCGACACTCCGCTTCGCGTCGGGCCGAATCAAGCCGTAGCACAACAGTGCTGGAGCAGAACAACAGTCTGGAGGAAGAAGTGGGCCGGTCGGAAAATTCACTAGCAATCCCCCCTTCCCCCGTTGACAATTTACTAGAAATAACGAGGGCCGGTCGAGATTCCCGGGCTGATTTTTAGTCCCAGTCCGCCACTGAACGTAGCTATTATGTAAGGTGCTGGTATATATATACTAACTGTGCTTCCCCCCCCCCAAAAAAAAGTTGTAAATCAAACAAGTGAAGTACATAATGCTATGTTATAAAGCCGTGGAGGGCGGGAGTTTATAAACCAAAGAGTAACCGCCCTTACGGGACGCTGTAATAAGTAAAGCGAACGCACCCGCAAGGACACCTGGCCTCCTATTGGTTGAGGGATTTTGACAGGATTGTTGCACAAAAGTTTCGAGCGCGCACAGAATAAATCTGAGAGCAGAAAAAATATGTAAGCAGCAATATATCTGAGTGCAAGCGTACAGTTTGAGCACAAGCAGAGCACATCTAAGTGCAAGCAGGCACTATTTGAGTGCGAGGACAGGGTTTGAGGGAAATAAATACAAAAGTATGCTCTCAAATTGAAATACCACGCTCTTGAATAAAGATAGGGAATAACCCCCATAGGCCATCCCCTTCACTGGGCCCTACTCACTGCTCGTCTGCCACCTGAGGAGCCTCACTGGTAAGTCTGCCATATTTGCTTGTGTGCAAACTTTCTCCCAAATAATTCTTGTTTCTGATCCATTCATGCAGTGCTTCACAGTTTTCTGAGTTTACACCATAATGACTAGCAATTTGTTTTCCTCTTGTCTCAGGTGAAGTGGAAGAGCTTGATGGAATGGAGAAGCACACTCTGAAGATTTTTTAAAATATCACTCTGATCCACGAGGCCGGCATGGTGCTGCTGGAGGTGAGCGGTCAGGCCCTTAGCTGTGGTCCTGCTGAGTCCTACGCAGAAGAGCAAGACTTTACCCTCTCCAGTCTAATTTACCCAACAACCCTTTCTCTCTATCTCCTATTTCAGAGGCTAGGAAACCCTATCAACGACATGTATGCTGACGCCGTCACCACTGTAGTGCTGGAAGTCCAGTCCAACCCCAAGGCTCAGAAAGGTTAGTCTGACAACCATCTGTTTATGTTGCTCATCTGGATCTTTAGTTTTAATAATGTATGGACTGTGGGAAGCATAGAATAAATTACTTTACTTTTACTCCAACCCATTTGCCCAATAATCAAGAAAAAATAAAGTAAGGGATGTTTAGTGTTGATTTTGTTATGCAATAATTTACCCTGCATGTCCTCCTTCGCCCTCTGACGCAGCTGACCGACCTTGAGCAGCCGTTATCTCCCATAAGGAGGGGCTGCCCTAGCATATTGTTGATGTTACCAGTTTGTGACCGGGCAACTGTCGGTCAGAGATAGTTATTGTTGTGGGACACCTGGAACACATCCTTTTCGGGGTGTAGATGACCCCGAGCCATAAGCGACAACAAATGTGATTCAGTGTCCTCAGCTGTTTAGTCTATCTATTGAAGAATGTTGATTATTACACTCTGAACTAGTTAAAACCTCGAGCGACAAGAGGGTTCTTGAGAATTGATGGTGGCATCTCAACCGTGTGGTCAACCCGTGGCCCGTGACATGTCTTGTGAATTCTCTGGCCGAAGCTCCAAATAAACCGTCAGTGTTTGCCATCAAAGCTCCAGTTCTCCTCGTGTCTCTCTGAGTCCTGACTCCAATTGCTTCAGAAGTTTCCCCCACAAGGGACAGTTCAGATTGCTTGAAGTGGGGTTGTATTAGGTATATAGTGACGTGGTTTGCATGCCCCCTCTTCCGAGCGACAGTCAGGTGTTACCACAACTGTAAAGGAAAGTAAAACTATACTTACCTTCAAAACCTCTCTTAAAGAGCACCTTCGGGGGAGAGCATTGCAAAACTGGCCCCGGTAATGGTACAAATCTCAACCTGTCGTTCAATGGACAGCTTCCCCCCCCCCCCATCTATGTATATACTCGCATTTTAGACTCTGTTACTAATTGTATATCTATAGACTTGGTATGTCTTAAATGTCCGGTTAGGATGCATTAGAACGAAATCTAAAATGAAAATTGTAAACAAGCAATCTGTATGTAAAAAACCACCTGTATGTAAATTGTAAATAAGCCATCTGTATGTCAAATATGTCTTATATGTCTTAAATGATATGATGAATTGGAAATGGGGGACCCTGATGTAAACAAGACGATAGTCTTTCTCTGGTCTGCATCCCCTTAACAATTGTATGTTTTGAGCTGTACTGTACTGTACCCAATATACAAGCTGTTAATAAACTTTTCAATCAATCAATCAATCAATCAACCACGTGAGAGCAAGCAATGTGTTGCTGTGGACAGAGGCAGCAGCTAATGGTGTTTTAGCCAACTAAAAATGCTTTGTCTTGAATATTTGTATCCCTTTATTGTGATCAAAATATTGTAAACATTGCGTAATTTACAATACTGGCAATTTTTAGGCTAAAATACCTACCATGGATAAATACCTCATACAATCCCACTGTACACAATCCTAACTTTACATTTATTGCATTGTGTCTTGTTATTGCGATGTATTTTTTTATTTTGTATGAATTATTATTTAATATGATTCATGATCAACAGCGATGGAGACCCAGAGTGCCATATTGGACATGGAGGTCTTCCAGAACAGACTAGGAGTCATGTTGCAGTGAGTGCCGCTCAATTCATACTAACTTTGTTTATGACATTGTTACATTGAATACCCATGTTGGATACGCTAACTTAGTATAAATACAACATATTGCTTCTCTCCGTAGGGACATGTTTGGATTAGATTGTGTGGATTTCGGTGATGGTAAAAACGTCTCGTTGACGGTAGATGGGAAGACTGTTCACATCTGCTTGGAAACGAGGGTGAGAAGCTTTAAGAATGACGCACCAAAACAATGTCTGTGCTGTACAATCGTTTTTATCTCTCTCACTGACTTCTTCTCCCCTAATCAGTCGGTGTGCTACAAGGATGAAAGCACCGAGGACGACTCCCTGAGAGAGATGGTGGAGCTGTCAGTGCAGCGGCTCTATGACGCCCTGAACCCAGTCATCTGAGGAGAGACGGACTGCAGGCGTGTTCAAATCCAGTCACCTTTAAACTACTGAGGCACAGAGTTTCTGAAGCTAAGTCATCACGGATGTAAACATCAAGATACTTCCACAAGTTCAGCATTGAAAGCCGATTAGAAGCTTGTATTTGTTTGCTAAAAACCGGATGTGTTCAGAAGAATCAATCAATCAATCAATGTTTATTTATATAGCCCAATATCACAAATGTTACATTTGTCTCAGTGGTCTTCACAGTTTGTACAGAATATCAGTATGACAATACGACACCCTCTGTCCTTAGACCCTCACATCGTACAAGGAAAAACTTCCGAAGAAAACCACAGTTTAAAGGGAAAAATGGGAGAAACCTCAGGGAGAGCAACAGAGGAGGGATCCCTCTCCCAGGACGGACAGACGTGCAATAGATGCCGTGTGTAAATTGAAAAGATAATACATTTGCAACATAGGTAGACCAAATGTTTGGAAATGCATGTGTGTATAATAGGAAGATGAATCCACGAGGATATCCATCCAGGACCTATGATCCAGGACCACAGCCACGACTCGCGATCCAGGGCTCGCGATCCAGGACACAGGACCGCAGGATCATCCATGTCTCCGGATCCCAGCGTATATAGACACCAAAAAGAAAGACATTTGGGGAAGCTGGGTTAATCGGAACATGAGAGTACACAGGTATAGACAGAGCGAAGGAAGAAGTAAGATGTCCCCCGACAAACTAAGCCTATATCAGCAAAACTAGGGGCTGAATATAATCAGCCCTAACTATAAGCTTTATCAAAAAGGAAGGTCTTAAGCGCACTCTTAAAAACGGATAGGGTGTCTGCCGCCCGAACAAACCCGAAACTGGAAGCTGATTCCACAAATGTGGAGCTTGATAAGAAAAGGCTCTGGCTCCCATTGTACTTTTAGAGACTCTAGGAACAACCAACAACCCTGCATTCTTGGAGCGCAATGCCCTAGTACAGGGGTGGCCAACCAGTCAGAGGTTAAGAGCCACATTTTTTCTATGTTACTTCAAAGAGCCACATCAAACACACAGTCACTGATACCGCTTGTTTCAGTTTTTTGTTTTCTGGAGACAAGATTTCAACCACGTCACTGATGCATTTTTGTGGCATTGGGATATATATTTTTTAAATCCTCTGGAGCAGAGAGAGGAGCTGTGGATTATTGTTATTGAATAATGCATCAGTGTTTCTTAGGGTCAAAAACACTAAACTCACAACTTAAAATGAAAGTGTTTAGTTTATTTAATAAAAGAGCACATGTTCAATGTGAAAAGTGACAGTAGTTATAGATTATTTGCAATTTGGTGCTATATATATATTTAAAAAAAAAATTATATATATATTTTTTTAAACACCTTGAATTTCAGGGGGGCGCGGGGCTCTGTTGGCGGGGCGCAGCGCCCCTCCAAGACAATGGTAGGGGAAACACTGGATAATGTTTAATCAACGATAGGTTTTCCCCCCTTCAAAGGTGATTGTTTCACTGCATCGCAGGTATTATTGTGATTGGCTCTTGGGCCACATACAAATTATACGCGCTGTCATCCTCTCATACTGACACCACACATACACCACATACATAACACGGGACGAAAGTAACGGAGCGATTTTATCCGAGGCCAAACAACTTTGACCGGCCAAATTACGTCAGAATTATCAGCATTCAATACTTAACAGACCTACTAAATATCAGGTTTAACTGTCAGGAGTAGCTAGTGTTGTCACGATACCAACATTTTGGTTTTGATACCAAGTCAAGAATTGCGATTCCGATTCTTTTTCGATATTTTCTTTAAAAAAGGGAAACGGTCTTAAATGTAATTATTGTGCTTTATTTCACACCAGAACCATAACACAAACTTTTAAACAATGAGAACAATAAATACAATAAATGACAAGAATTCGTATTAAATCAAATTAATAAATGTCTGACAGACAGGCCTCGTGGTGTCCGTAGGCTTGCCCTCACTGTCAGAGATATAGCTCAAATACTTCCAAATTTCGCTTCTGGCGTCTTTCTTGTCAACAAGCCGAGGCGCAGCGGCAGTTGCACTCCCACTTGCAGCCATGCTTCTCGCTTTCTCACATGCTCTGGCAGCTAGCGCGTGCACGAGAGAGGGGAGGCACTTGAGCGTGCTTGAGAGGGGAGGGACTTAGAGCGTGCTTGAGAGGGGCGGGACTGCAGGCACGGCTGCAGTGCAGGGAGTGGAAGCAGAGCGCTGAACACACGGCTCTTATTAAAACGGCGCTTTCTCACCGGAGTACTTTTCCCCGTTATTCTTAAAGTACCGATACTAATGAAACGGAGGAATCGTAACGTTTTTAACGGCAGGGTATCGCGGTACCTTTCAAGTATCGGTACACCGTGCAACACTAGTCAGGAGTCAGTGTCTCTCCCCCAAACTCACACATAAAATTCGATATGAACTGAAGAGCCGCATGAAACTAGGCAAAGAGCCGCATGCGGCTCGAGAGCCGCGGGTTGGCCACCCCTGCCCTAGTAGGACAGTAGGGTATAATGAGCAGTGGCGTTTCTAGGTGTACAAAACTGGGGGGGCAGAAAGAGGTCGGGGGAGAGAGAGAGAGAGAGAGAGAGAGGGGGGGACAGAGAGAGGGGGGGAGGAGAGAGAGAGGGGGAGTGTCAAATTACATACTGAAGACCACAGGAGCAACACTGAGCGCATACATTTACGTACACAGCGTGGGGATGTCATAGTAATGCACCTTCATACATGGAGTAAAGGTCACCATCACAAAGTAATTCTTAACAATAACAACAACCGTAATGCTTTAGCATTAAAACACCATAGACTGTAAATATAAGGAAAACACAGACACTCATCATCGAGGTCACAATATCAATCGATCCAGCAGAGGCAAAACACAGAAGATCAACAAAATATATGACATAAATGAACTTACCAAAGCTGAAGGCTCACTTGAAAAGAAAAGCGGCACGGCGGTCCTTCCTCTGACAGAATGTGTCTATCACTTTGGGGATGAAGTCCTGTAGTTGCTGGATCAACTGGCTTTCAATTGAAAGCATGGCCAATGCGTTAAGTCGCGGCTGTCCCATGGTGTTGCGAGTGAAAGTCTTTATCCTTTTGAGGGTGGAAAAGTTCCTCTCTGACTCGGATATCGTCATCGGAGTTGTCACTATTATTTTGACCAAAATAACAGTCTCAGCAAACGTTTCCTCCAAGTTGTTCTCGTGAATGGATTTCAACAGAGACAGGGCAGTGTTTCCAGTGTGAAGCTCACTGTGGCGGTAGAGCGCGGTCAGCTCAGACTTCAACTTCTCCTTGTTTCCCAACGCAGGCCACAGTTTCACGGCGCAGTCAAGCTCAGGTGTAGGAAATGACAGGACATGCTGTGGGAAGAATGAGCTGTCAACAAGCTTTGCAGCGATCAAATGGTCACTCTGTGAGAACCTCTGTTCCACCTGTGAGATGACTGTGTCACAAGCCTCCTTCATCACCGGCGCTGTGCTGCTGACTCGTCGGCCTGGCTCGTCTGTTCCATCATGAGCAGTGGCGGCCAATGCATCAGTTTTCTGCCTCATTTTCTGAACATTTTCCTTGAAACGGCAGAGCGCGCTGTTGATCCCAGGTGCATCGATGCTTCGTTTTTGCAGAGTGTTGTATAGAACATCCACTTCTGGCATAAGCAACGAAAAAAACTCCAGGAGCTGCATAAATGCTCGGTCCCGCAGTTTCTTTGACAGGCCGTATGCCTCACTTATGGTGACCGCATCCCATCCTGGTTGTGCGCGTATATGCTTCATACACTGAAGTAGTGCATCTCGGGTCTCTCAAACCGCGTTCACAGTTCTGCTTTTAAAGTTCCATCTCACAGCCGGTGGCCGTGGGATGCGTCTCTGTGTTGCCTCTGCAAGAGCTGCAACACGTTTTGGAGCACCGGAGAAAAAAGTGGAAAAAGCAGTTAGATCTGCAAAAAAACCCCTTCAGGATGCTCATCCTTGCTGAACACAGTTGCTGCAGGGTCAGGTTCAGTTGGTGGGCGTAGCAGTGAACAAACTGAGCGTTTGGGTACGTCTCCTTCATCACCGTCTGTACCCCGCGCACGTTACCGCTCATGACGGCCGCCCCGTCATAGGTCTGAGCGATTAGCTTTTCTTTCAGCTTCAGGGGTTCCAGAACAGCCTTGATGCTGTTAGAGAGACCTACACCAGTTTTGTCCTTTACTTCCACAAACTCCAAAAAACGCTCTGTAACTGTGAGGTCAGGCATAATGTATCGCAGCACAATCACCATTTGCAATTTACAGGAGACATCGGTTGTCTCGTCGGCCTGAACGGCAACAAATGATGTGTTGTCCACTTGCTTGGCTATTTCCTCCCTGTACACATCATACATGCAGTCCAAGAGTTCATTCTGTATGGTGCTTGATGTCCCTTTGAAAACAAGCTGAGCTTCGTAGTGCCGTTGAAGCCTGGAATCGCCCTCACACATTGTCTCGAAAATTGACCTGAATATCCCTGGATTCAGAGAGTCCGCCGACTCGTTGTGGCCCCGCAGTGCTGTCTCACATTTCCCACACAGTTTAATACAGGTGATGATCCGACCAAGCACGTACCTGTTTTCTTCCACCTTCCTATTATGAGAATCAATGCCACGTCTGTAGGCGCTGTCAATCTGAGCTGCAACATTCACCCTTCCAAGTAATCCCAATTTTACGGCATTTTCCAAATGACTGTTGCTGCTCTCATGCTTCATTGTCCTCTCCGAAAGATGCTTTAAGTCCTTGTAACCTGTCCTCGACCAAGTACCTTGATCTTCACCAAAAAGCAGGCAAGGAAAGCAAAAGAGGGAATTCTTCTGGATGCTCGCCGTTAGCCATTTCTTTTTAGCAAACCACTCAGCGTTAAACCCACGTTTAACTTTGCCCGCAGTCTGGACCATTTGGAAATCCGGTGGATGGTGGGCTAAGTGTCTCAAATGTGTGCTCCAGTAAATGGTCAACTTCATTCATTTTCTTTCAGTTTTTTACTTCTTTTAATCGCTGGTGATGTTAGCTATATGCTGCTCTCTCGTCTCCTCTTTAAACTACACGTGACGTTTCGCAGCACTGCACACGTGAGTACTTACAGCCAATCAATTCTGAATTATGTGAGATGACGTATGGTGGGGATGGGAGCACTCTGCCCCTACGGTCATTATTTTTTTGCCACACACATTCAATAGAAAAATACTCTGAGCATGCGCAGTGTAGTTTTTACAATCACCGTTCACTTAGACTGTGAGAGGGAAGGGCAGGATCGGGTTTTGTCCCACATGGCTCTAAACAGCTCAAAACGGCACTCTAGACACTAATTAGAAGAACACAGACTAAAACAGAAATGTACAGACGAA